TTTGTTTATATTACCTTCCTTTTTCAGTTTTCCAAAGCTCCTCACAATTTCATGAACAACAGCTGCTCCACTCTGAGGGTCAATGCCCCCAAAGACCCATGAGTCTCGGTGACCTCCAAGAATGACATATCTGTCTAGAAACCAACATTGCAAGATTGTGGCTTTAGGTCAAAAATGGAGTAAATTGCAAATGATTCAACAACATCTAAACATGAAGCACTCACAACTCAAGAAAAATAGCAAGTTTGAAATCTTGTGCAAATGTGCTGTTTGATCTGATTTTAATATGTTTCCTCTATATGAAGAAAGTATGAATGTGATAGAGAAAATGCATACCTCAATATATTACTATAATCAAAAGTATATGGACAATTATATACATTTATCTTTATCCACCTTTTCAATTCTCTATTACTCTCTCTTACCTTACCACTTTCCTTTCAACATTTTCAAAGTGAAAAAACACAGTTCTGTACTTTCTACTCTTCCAAATTTTCAAGGTACAGGTCCTAATTTTTCCTCTCTGAATTTTTATATCTCATAGAAAAAAGGGAATTGCTCTGTCTACCCAGTTCTCAGGGCAACTTTCCACATCTGATAAAACACAGATTATAATTGAATGTATGGCTCTCCTTACAAAGTAGGGGCCCCTCATCCCAGGTCTTTATTACTCTTTCAGTCCCAATGTATAGCACATTGCCCATACAAAATAAGATGCAATTAAGAGCTAGTTAAACATTGTTCAGTACTCATTAGAAGGATATTAACATTCTTGATCCCTTATAAGAAGAAGCATATAAAATTTACTTGTATCTATTTTAGTAAGAAATGTATAACCAACTAGTTCCTATGGAACTGAGACATACTAAACTAAGGCTATATATAAAATATATTAATCAGCAGATCATTTGAAAAACTATGGAATGCATGTGTCTAGATATTGTCAATTACTTTAGTTGTAGAAAATAACATTCTACAAAGAATTCATTAACTTAAGGTTATCATAGTTTTCTCAGTTTTTCCTTTTGTGCAGATGTTTGTAGTCATCATTAAAACTTTTCCTTATGTAAAATATATGGCAAGCAAATCAAGAAAACTAAGAGAAACACCTCAAAAGTCTCTCCCTGCCCATCTTGCTTTAATTCTTTGACTGAAACACTCATAGTTTATCACTCACTTCAGTCATCCTCCCAAGCTAGCTCCACTTTTCTTTTCTTCACAACATGTATAACAGTACCATATTACATTTTATATAATTTACCTGGTTCCATGGCTCCTCTGAGAGTACCAATCACATTGTAAATCCTTGTCACTTCACTGTTGGAATGGATGTGCATCTTGACTTTTCTAAAGCAAAGAGAAAGGGTACATTCTCAAAAATACTGGTTATGAAATTAACACAATTTTTAAATCTTCTATCATTGTTTAAATTACAGTAGCCATTTTTTTTTCTAGTTGTAGTTGGACACATTACCTTTATTTTATTTATTTTTATGTGATGCTGAGGCTCCAAACCAGGCCTCAAATGTGCTAGTGGAGCGCTCTACTGTTGAGCCACAAGCCCTCTAAAAGTGTGGCCCACTTCAACTTCTAGTTTTGTTTCCTACTGGTGCTATATACATTTTACTTTTTATGCCATTCTCTGCAATTATAGTCTCTTAAAAGATCTGTATTAAAGAGTTAAGTTAAAATACTCTCTTAACTGTGTAGAGAAGTTTCCAGTAAAGCCAGGACCCACATTATAAGGCACTTTGAGACCTCCTTTCCAGCTGCTATCTGGTGGTGCTGAGCCACCCATGTGTCTGTTGGACCAAAAAAGGAAAAAAAAAAATATCATTATTAGCTAGAGGAAAACTTTTACTTTATTTAACAAGTTATAAGTGTCAATGAATTTACTTTCTTGAGCATTTGTTTACAATAGCTTCTATGAGAGAAGTGTCATGTAAAACATTTTGAATATAGTATGCCATTTAATCCTTACTACAAGCCTTATAAAGTAGGTTCCATTATTTTTCTCAATTCACAGATGAGAAGCATGAGGCTAAGTGTGATTAGGTAACATGCACAAAGTTGTGTGCTGATAAGTGGTACAGCTGAGATTTAAATTATCGACTAGAATTTGAACTTTGTGCTACTACTCTCAAGAGTACATGTTAGAAGTGCTCTCCAGAGTATGCTCTGAATAAAAAGCTTGATGTATAACTCTTTGGAATTTTCCCTGATAAATATACTCCCAAATCTTTGTATTGTCATCTCTTACAAAGTGTGTTTTCACATAAGTATCTGGTAAAAAAGGAAATTCAAAGAAAATAATTTTGCTTTAGTCATATGTCCCTAAAAGCTTCACGCTTTTTATTTTATTTTATTTTTAATTTGAAAAGGTAGAAGGATTCACGTGGACAGCTATACATGCTATCAGCTCACTGTAATCTTTTAGTAGGAGACTGAGAAAAGAAATATGGTAATATTTATAAAATGGTGTGATTCTTGTCATTTCCCTTCAATACAGCTACCTTTACCGTATCAGAGTAAGGGTTGACTTCTTGGGTTGGGCATGAAATAAAACGTATTTTAACTGAACAGCAGCAGATAGATGAATGTGGTCCAAGACAAATGTAGAAAACTGAAAATGAAATGTGAGCAATTTCTACCTCTACTATAAATAGATTTTGATGAAAATCTAGTTGTAGGGCAGAAACAGTCTTTCAGAGTAAATACATCCTATCCCCCCCCCATCTCACTAGGAAGTTTGGCTAATAAATAGAATTTTAAGTAATATGTAATTTATTTTTGTACAATAAATTTCACACAAAATAATCTAGTACTATGAAGAGGATTTTTACATTGTTAGAAAACATAATCCATAGTCAAAACAGCAAATATTAAATATGCAAAGAAGTTGTAGGAGGCAAGAGAAGAATATACATATACATGATCATATACAAAATATTTCTCCAATATTATTAACATAACATTCATAGAAATGAATAAATTTTTTTACTGTAAATCTTTTCAAGTTATAACTTTGTCAATGTATTTCCTTTTCAAAATAAACATGAAAAATTGCAAATTCATGAAGAAGAAAAATAGGCAATTGTGTATTATTACATAAAAAATAAAATAAATAGTCTGTTTTCTTACAAAACAATAAAATATGCTGTAATGGTGATGGTCCCTCAAGGACAGTTAAACAGACAACAGAACATTAAAAAATGGTTATGTGTAAGAATCTAATAACAGATAAAGGATATATCACACATTCACAAAGAACAAAGGTTTTAGTCACACTCTATAAAGATATCAGATAATATGAATAAATTTTGAAAAGATATCTGAAAGGATTTGATAGATGTTAGATACTCCGTAAATATTTATAAATATCGACTTAAATCTGTTTCCTATAGTATATTTATTTTTATTTGACCATTTGTGAAATATTTATTGTATACCTTTCTAAATGTACTTTGTTCTACTTGACAAGGAATGTAACTAGGTATAACACATGATCATTCCACCAAAAAGTTCCCAAGTCACTCAGAAGGTGATACATATAAAACCAACTATGATATGAAATAGAACATGACAGATAATATACAGAGTTCTACAAAATAAGCACAAAAAGGATTAATGCAACTTGTTGGATCAGGAACAACTTTCTAAAGGAGATTTCACTTTGTTGTATTTTAAAGGATAAGCAAGACATAGGAATGGGAAGATGAAGGAAAAGACACTCAAGGGACAAGATATAATATAGAGAGGCAGGAAGGCAGAGAACTATGGAGCAAGTGAAAGGTTTAGTGACAAGTCTGGCTGGAGTATGATTAAGGTACCTAAGAGAGAAGCTTGAAAAGTACTGGAACTTGGTTTCTGGGAAGCTGATTTAGCCTCCTGCTAAATGCAACTAAAATTCCTGTTGGCAGGAGTGTGTAAATGAGACAGAAGATCTCAGAAATTATTATATTCCAAATTAACAAGTGAATTACAACTCCAACAGAGCTTTTGAATTACCTCTTTAAAAGCTCTCTCTGTTCCTGCAGATGGGCAGAATCAGTGTCTGGGACAGGAGTCCCCTGTGTTTCTCCTTTCCTTTGCTAGCAAAGCAATAAACTTTCTTTTTCCTTTTTCTCAAAACTGTGTCCCTCATTATTGGATTGGCATCAGGGACCAGGACTGAGCTTTCAGAAACAGTTTCATGCATTCTTTCCCCAATTACAAACACAAAATGGGTTCATTTTTAAACTTTTATATAACTTGGACCATCTTATACATTGATTTGAAATTTTCCTTTTTAACTCAATAGTGTATCACAAACATGTTCCATATCATTGAATATTATACAATATTCTTGTATCTATTAGTGACTTCATTTACTACCATGGTCAGTAACATATTTGACTACTTATTGATTGTTGAAGTTTTATTTTGATTCTGGAATATTGCAAGTTATACTACAATTACTGTCACTGTATAAATTCATAAATACTTAGATTTTGTTTATTAATATATTTAGATAAATCCATAGTTCATACTGTACTCAAAAATTGTACCTGATCCTAAATCATAACTGATGTGACAGAGTTAAAGCCCTGTTATGGTTTAGATGTTAGGTGTACCCCAAAAACTCATGTGTGAAAAAAATGGGATAAGGTTTAGAGATGAATTTTGGGGGTTATAAGAGGTTTACCCTAATTAGTTAATTAATCCACTGATAGAAATTAACTGGGTAGTAACTGTTAATCCCTGGAAGGGATTACAGTGTGGCTAGATAGGGGTTGGTCCCTGGGTTCAGCCTTCCCTTTTTGTCCTTGTTG